TGCAAAATTCTGCTCAATTCTCTATTCCGTCAATACAAAAAAAATGTTTTTTGAATCTTTCTAATCGATACTTCGTTTTCACAAAAACTTAATCCTTATTATTTGCATTTTGTGCTTCATATTTCCGAAACGGCTGGACCTGCCTTTCCCAAAAACTAATCAGAAAGTCTTCCCATCAATAGGAATCGAATTTTTTTTGAATCATTCAAATCGGTTGATTTGTTCTGGATTCTTCGAAAACTTTTTTTTTTTTTTTTTATTTTATTTATTTTTAATAGACAATCAGAAGACAAAGTTTCTATTAGCCTATGTGATAAATTATATTTGGCGTTTAGAGGTCTCCTCCATTGAAGAGATCCTCTGCTAGAATTATTCTATAGCTGTCTGTATATAATTTAATATTGCAGGTCCTTTGGCCATTTCTTCTTGAGTCTTCTTGTTTGAACCATTTTGTTGATAATTTGTATTTCAGCGTTCGAATGATCATCAATTTTGTTGTGATAAGAACAGCTCCGGGTCTTTATAATTTCATTTACAGTTTTAATTTCCAGGTCCCTTTGCATGGTCTCATTAGTTACGTACCAAGGCGCATCTACCATTGCCCTTAATATTTTGTTCTGGGTACGCTGTATAATTTTTATGTTTGATGCACTTGCACATCCCCATAATTCTATTCCGTAGCTCCATATTGGTACTAGTACAGTTTTGTATATTAAAGTCTTGTTTGCGTATGACATTCTTCGAAAACTTGGACGAAATATTGTATCCGTACATACTACATACACGTTTCAAAGGTTTCTGAACGTTTTGGCATACTTTAGAAAAAATTGTATGTGTGAAAAATTAATGAAATGCCTTTGTGCATCCCAAGCGGTTTTTCTGTATAATACCGACTAAAACTTCCGCTTATCTAGCTACTTCATGGGGGGAGGATCTAGAATGCTATGATTATCTGTCTTAATTATAATTTTCTCCTACTTATTGCTATTAGCTCTTCTTCTTTCCGAAAATCGCAAGTCTAAAGTGTGTATGTGTGTTTTTTTTTGTATAGCGAAGGAAATGCGTTTATGCATCCCAGACTAGGTTTTTTGTCTGGGTATGTCGGATTCAATATTTCCTGCGTATAATACCGACTAAAACCTCCGTTTTGCTTTTGTCTCTGGTTTCCACAAAAACCGCCGTTAGACATTACTTCGTGGGGGGAGGATCTAGAATGTTATCATTCTCGCCCTGATATTATGCTTATTTTTTATAATACTTTTATACTATCTTAAGTCTATTGTGTATGCGTATGTGTACGTATATTTTGATTCGTATCTCACAATTTTTAATATTTTTAACTTTCTGTAGGGCTTTTGCGTATTTTCACGTTTCAGAAGTTTTTAAACATTTTGGCATACCTTAGAAAAAAATGGGTGTGTGTGTATATACAATTTTTCATCCACGTTCTTGGGCGCACGGATCAACCTATTTGAATGTTTCAAAAAACCTTCGATTCCTATTAATAGGGAGATGTGCTGATTAGTTTTTGGCAAAGGCAGGTCCAGCAGTTACGGAGATACGGAGCAAAGAATGTAGAAAATACAAATCGAGTTTTTGAGAGAACGGAGTATCGTATTTGAATGATTCAAAAAACATTCAATTTGTAATGTATAGGAGAAGTGGTGATTAGTTTTTGGCAAAGGCAGGTCCAGCCGTTTTAAAGATACGGAGCTAAATGTACAAAAAATGGCAGTTTCTAAGTGAACTAAACGTTCGTTTTGAATGATCTAAAAAACTTTCTGCTTGTATTGACAAAACAATTGCTTTTGAAGATAAAAAAATATTACATCTTTTTTATTTTCCATAAAATATTTTTGTAATTTTGGATTCAAAAAATTACCCAGTCTAAGCACAGTCTAAGCGCCACTCTGGTACAAATGTTTTCCCAAGTGCGTTTAGACTGTTTAAGTACTGAAGAACTTTTCCAATTTTGTGAAAATTATTGAAAAATGTGAAAATGCCGCCAATCTGAGCACAGTATAAGTGAAAATGTCGCACAGAATTATTTGCAAATGCGTTTAGACTGTGACTATACGGGAGCACTTTTTCAGTTTTGTGTAACAATTTAGGCAACTATTTTTTTGAAATTGAATTCGAAATGAAATGAAATTGTTAATGTTCTGGAGATAAATTGATTTATGATTTATGATTTACAGTTTATTTGCTCAGATATAATAAGATAGCAGACAGTATTTGTAATAATATATTTGAAAACATTCAATATTCCTCGAACATTTTGTTACGGTACGGGAAGTTCCAGCAATTTGCTTTAAGGCACGATGCCATACACCACTAGTTTTAAAATGCATTTTGTTGACACAAATTGTATTTTTATTATAGGCGATTTAAAAGTATGTACGTTTTGCTGCAAAATTATTCTATCGTATTTGCATTCGCCTAATATTGAAGCAGAATTAACAGCTGACATGAGAGCTTTACAGGTTGTATATATATATATATATATATATATATATATATATATATATATATAATTGTTAATTTTTATTACAAAGGTCGATTTGCAAAGTAAATTCGGCAGCAGCGAAAGTTCTGTAAGCGTCGGACCTAAGAAAAAGACTTCTGGAGGCTACCAGGAAGAAAGGTAGTAGCATTTAAATCTAAACATATATTCACAAAAATGATATTAAATTTTATATATTTTACTTACAGATTTGGTGTATCTCGTAATTCAGCGTACAATATTTCCTTAAGTGATCCCGATCGTAAAGACGCCTTACGATCTTCAGCTTCATTACGAGCTTTGTACCAGGAATTGGTTAGACCAGGGACTGGTGTAACATTTTCTCAACATCGTTACAGATTACGATGTTATGTGGACGTAGTGCTCGGTACTGATATTGTTCATTGGCTAATTGAACGGCAAAAAGCTGGTAATAGGTATGTAACTATAACATTTGATAAAGGGTATTTGATTAATGTACTTGTATGAAAAAAAAAGAATGCGCGTATGGTTCACACGCGATTGAAGTAAAACTTATTTGCTACTGTACAAGATAACATTTTTAAGTCAAAATAAATACATCACATAACAATTTCGAATAATGTTTATTAGTAATATGGTAACGCTCGTGATGCACACATTTATTAGTGTCAACCATTATAAACATTTATATAATGATAAATTAGGAATTTTATATTTATAATAGCATTGAAAATATGTATAATATTTAAAAACAATAATGTAATTAAAGTCATACTTCAAATATGACCATGATCGGTTTGTCACTGTAATTAGCATTTAGGACTTGAACCTTCATTAGAGAAATGATGTAATTGGTGGTTAATAATTTTTATAATATTCGTTTACACAGTGGATTATGTTAAACAACGCCTAAACAAATATTATTTTCGCAACTTTACTCATCATGTGATAATTGTGTTTGAAGAACTTCATGAAATTAAAATTAACACATTCATTGACTGCTTGTATTTTTTTTACTTTTTTGCTGGCGATTCAGTCTCATTCTTTCTACAAATATATAGTAACTACTGTTAATACAAATTACTTCAATAAACTTGCGTTTCTTACACGACACAGATTTTTCATTTGTTTTATTATTTTTACTATACAATCAAAGCAATCATACTCACGCGACACGACGACCAATCACAATCGACTCGTATAGAAATGATCTCATCGAGAGCGAATGACGAATCATTGGCACTCGACTCGAGCGTAACGCTTTTCCGTTGCATTTGCACAGATTTACCTTCTAATCGCGCCAAAGAAGTTTTACTTTGAGAGAGCAATTGAGAGTTTGTTGAAGATTTGGTTTTCTTGATGTATCTATTTTATTTTGATTATTCATGTTTTCTTGATGTTGACTCTTAATGTGTTGGTAGTCTAGAATGTTTCAAAAAGCTAAACCTATAGTGTTTATTCGATGGTTTGTTTACAGTTTTGATACTATCAATGGCTCAAAAACTAACCTCCAAATAGCACAGTTGTGAAAATAACATTAGTTCAACTTTATGTATATTTAACTTCCCGTAGGGTAAGTGATTATAATCGCAAAAAAAATTGATACTGGAAATTTATATTTGTTTCTACGTTTCAAAGGTTTCTGAACATATTTGCATACGTCAGAAAAAATCGATGTGTGTGTGTATGTATGGATACAATTTTTCGTCAACGTTTTTGAGAACACAGAGCAATCTATTTGAATAATTCAAAAATTTCAAATTTATAAAATTCGATTCCTATTGATAAGAAGACGTGCTGATTAGTTTTTAGCATTTTTTTACGTTTCAAAACTTTCTGAACATTTTTGCATACCTACCTTACAAAAAATAGATGTGTTTGTTTAGGATTTCGGGAGCAGGGATAAACCGATTTTATAAATTCAAATAACATTTGATTTATATTGACGTCAAAAAGTACTATAAAAGTATTTGCGCAAAGCAGGTCTAACCGTTACGGAGATACGGAGTAAAAGTGTAAATGAATGATCTTGCAGTTCACACTCTTATAAAAACTTCGAAAATGTATACATCTTTAACTTCTTATTTACAAGTTATTGTAATCGTCCAAAAATCGAAAATGAAAATTTTTACGTATCTTCACGTTTCAAAGGTTTCTGAAAATTTCGGCATACCTTACAAAAAATTATGTATGTGTGTGTGTGTTGCGGATATTTATTACGCTCCATCTTCCATATAATATGGTACTGAATACTGTCAAAATGTCATGTATTTGCTGTGCATTCAGACGTTTTACACATAAACTGCAACGTCACTTGTATGTTATGAAGCTGAGTCAGAAAGACCATGTTATCTAACATCGTTTTTTTTAAACATTTGTGCGGTTTCTACGTTTGGTTTCTATCTGACAACCTGAGAAATACGCCTGACTGCACAACAACCATATGGTTGTCAATATTCAGTATAGAAACATCTCACTTTATTTTTTAGAAATCAAGCTCATGCGATTTGCCAAGCTTTGTTGGATGCTGAATATATGGAATGTCCGACGGATGAAAATTCTACTGAATTTTTAGAACACTTACTTTACCAAGCAAAATTTAAAGAAACTACACCAGAAACAGCTATTCAAACCCAAACAGGTAATTTTATATACAAAATCAGTTCTTAGTGGGGGTTTGTCGGTTTTCAAAAACCGGTTTAAAAAAACGGTTTTTCGGCGAAAATTATGGAATTCGAAAACCGGTTTTTTAGTGAAAAAGGTCGGTTTTCACTGTATAAATGGAAAATGACAAATATAGCCAAATATAAAAGATATATGAAAGCGTTTTGATTCTTGAAATCATATCGGTTCAAAAGCATTTGATATCTTATCAATCTGCAATGGTTCCCAGAATGGTTTTGTATATATTAATTTAGATTTTTATACCAGTGTATATATTAATTTAAATCAGTGTGACTTCTTCTTGAAGAAGTAACTTCCTTTACTCAAACTTAAAAAAAAAGTTTTAAGCCCTAGAAGCCACAAATTAAATAACAAAAAACTTAGAATTATTATATCAGGCTTTAAAAACAATTAAGCATAATTTGGTCGCAAGTATGAGAGTATTTTCTATTTCAGAAAATTTTGTGAGTGATTAAAGGACATGCATAAATAGCAGTTCGATAGACGTTCTCAGTTTTTTGAAATCATATTTTATTAAACAAAAAAACAATTAGAATGTTTAAAATTAATTAATTAAAATTGTTCGGAACAGACAATACACAAGTTTAGCTTAATTGTTTCAAAACTAAAATTGATATTAACAAGTATGTATCAACATGTATCTAGTATTTTTTTTTTATTTAAGAATGTATAGGTTGTCAAATATCTCCCTTCCGCCTTTTTGTATTATAAACCAAAAGCAAAAAAGCGGAAGGGAGATATTTGACAACCTAATATTTTTATTTATTCGAAAACTTTGCTTTCACTATCATAAAAATATTTTTATTCTTATTTGTGAAAATGATGCATGAATAACAAATAATTACTTTCAAAATTATTTAATTAAGATAAACTATTATTTTTTAGTTCTACTAATTAAAATTAAAATAATTTTGTTTACTATCTATAAAATTGAACAATAAATAAATTCAGTCAAATATTGCTCTGAATTACATTAAATTTGCGGATAAATTACAGAATATTCGAGCAAAAATTTATTTTCTATATAAAATTTGAAAACCGGTTAAAACCGTTTTTTTAGTAAAATTAAAATTCGAATACCGGTTTTCTGAAATGTCGGTTTTTGTATAAACCCTAGTGAGTATAGAATTAGAGTGACTTTTGGAAATTGACTATGTTGTTAAATTATATTGTATTTTTAAAGAATCTATTATTTTTATTTCATTATAATTCTCAATTTTTTCTCGGTTATTGTTAAGACAGTCAAATATTCCAATACGACTATTATTATTTGTTATTTCATTTCAGTTTATTTCATTTATTTCATTTATCCATTCATATACTTTTCATATTTCAGGTAGAGGAAATCTTCCTCTATCGACTTCAACTTTTTGTTTGGACTTAGACGTGCAAGGACATTCAGTTTATTTATCAAGACCATCAGCGACTTCAACAGATTACGTAAGCGATTTGGAAAGTCCAGATGTGGCCCAAGTACCAATTGTCCCAGCAGATCGCTCTTCAGTAGGATCAATATCAACAAATCCGGGTTTACCGGAAAAATCTCAAAGCACCGAAACCGAAATCGCCTTATGGCAATCTTACAAAAGGCACGAGGATGCTCTTTTGGCTCAACTTTTGGGCGCGGCTCGCCTATCCTACGACCAATGGGCCGAAACTGTGAAGCGTTTGTGCGATGAAATTGTTGAAACCATTCGACCAGGTAGGAAAAGAAATTAAAACTTATAATGTATTTGATGGAAAAAGGGTGTAACTTCTGAATTTTTTTGTACTGTGCTCCAATTTGCATGAAATTTTGGAAATCGGAGAAAATTACTCTTAAGTTCAGAAGTTAAAACAATTTGCACACCGCCTGGTGGGGAGAGGGTTAATCCCACCGATATCTGCCAAACCCATTTTATTGATAGAAAACGTTTTTAAAATTTTGAAGTATTTTCTAATATATTATTTAGCTTAAAATAAAACTAGTGGTGTATGGTATCGTGCCTTAAGGCAAATTGCTGGAACTTCCCGTACCGTAATGAAATATACGAGAAATTTTAAACGAGAAATTCAAATATATTATTACAAATAGTGTAACTTTCGTTATTTTTGCTATCTTGTTATATCTGAGCAAATATAAATCATAAATTATAAATAAATATATCTCCAGAACATTAACAATAGTCATTTCATTTCGAATTCAATTTCAAAAAAAAAGTTGCCTAATTTGCACAAAACTGAAAAAGTGCTTCCGTAAAGTCACAGTCTAATCACATTTGCAAATAATTCTGTGCGACATTTTCACTTATACTGTGCTTAGCTTGGCGGCATTTTCACATTTTTGAATATTTTTACAAAATTGGAAAAGTGCTTCAGTCTAAACGCACCTGGGTAAACATTTGTACCAGAGAATATCTGAAATAATACAAAAGAATTGGATAAAGAAAGGGATAGAGATAGACAAATTGAAAGGGAGCGTAGAAAAGTGTAGAAAATTAATAAAGACCATAAAATATGATAAAAAAGTGATAGAGATAGGTAGATAAAGAGATATGTATAATATACAAATAGAAAGAGAGAGTATAGAAAAGTGTAGAAAGTTAGATGAAAATAATTAAATGAAATTTTACAAAGAAAAGGGGATAGAGATAGAAATGGAGATAATAGACAGAGAGAGAGAGAGAGAGAGAGAGTATAGGAAAATAATAGAGGTAATAGAAAGAAGAACATAGAGATACTAAAAAAAGAAGATAGATATATTTTTTATTTGCATGATAGCTCACTCATTTTACACGCAGAAGACCCTTAGCAGTACTCATTTTAAAGCTTATTTTAAGCACTTTAAAACCCCATGGAATATATAAAATGTAACACCTCGCCGCTAGATGGCTTTAAATACAACAATAAATTTTGAATAAAATAAAAAAACGACTTTGCTCCTTCATATCTTGCTTAATGTTGTTATTAGAACACTTTATAAAGCACTAATTTATTAAGATTTTAATTGGCATAATTTGTTCATTACATGATTTTTGATAAAATGTATATTTCTGGAGAAATTTGCCAAAAAACGTAGAAAAACGCCAAAAATATATGAATTTTTAACAAGCCAGTAACTTCAAAAGTACTTGTTTTTTTCTGGAAAAACTTTATAAAACATTTTTGTCTTGCAATTAGTTATTCTATCAATATCCGACGTTATCTTGAGAAAAAAAAACACCACTGAGAAGGGTGTCAGTACAAATTGTATTCACTTTAGAACTTAAGAACAAGATGAACCTAATTCCAAATTTTTTGCAATTTGGAGCACAGTAAAAAAATTAGACCCAAAACGCTCCATTAACCGGAGTATAGAAGTATTTGCATTATATTGGTCTTCCATACTAAAACCACTTTATAATTTTTCTGAAGTTCACTTGTGAACTTGAGAGTAAGATGAACATAGTTCCAAAATTTTATGCAAATTGGAGCACAGTAAAAAAATTCATACCCAAAACGCCCCATTGACTGAACTGGAGTATTACAAAATTCTCTTTTGTTTTTTTGTAGAGGAGTCTGAAGATTTCGAAGAAACTCAGGACATTCGCCAATACGTGCAATTCAAGAAAGTTCCTGGAGGTGCCAAAGTGATTGCGAGATTGTCAGCGGCGTTGCTTGCAGCAAAAATGCTTCTCACCGGGAAATGCGATCGAGAATTCGTGACCCTAAAATTTTACTTTTGCAATGTGCAATTGTATACCAACGAGTCGAAGGCAGATTTTTTTCTTTGGAACCTGTTATGAGACAAGTAAGTGGTAAAATTCACACCTAAGCCATTGCAAGATATCTGTAAAAAATTTATTAACTTCCCGAAGGAGAAGTTTATGTTTTCATCAAAAAATCCAATTCGCTAATTTTATGTTTTCTCGACGTTTCAAGCCATTCCGAATCAAATGAGACCAAATTTGGAAAAAGTATGTGTGTGTGTCTGTGTGTGTGTGTGTGTGCGCGTGTTTGTGAACAGATTTTTTGTCATAAATCGACGATTTCTCAGAAACGGCTAGACCGATTTCAAAAATTTAAAAGCCATTCGATGTATTTCGACGAGGACTAGCGTTTCTGCGGCGATCAGCCGGGCCGTTTCTTTGCAAATTGCAGAAAAGTGAAAAGTTTTTCGTCCACGTTTTAGCCCGCAGTTCTGAATCGATTTTGAAAATTCAAAAATCGTTCGAAAGATATTGGTTGGGAACCGACCTAATTAGTTTTGGTAGAGATCGGCCGGGCCGTTTTCTTGTAATAAGGTGTTAAAAAATTTTTTTCGACGATTTTTATTATTATTTTTTGACGGTAGATACCATAGTCTTCTAGATCATACTAAAATATTACGGCCCTACGACAACTCCTTTAGCTTTAAAAATTTGTCAAAGTTTTCAAAAATTAGTATGGTCTTTTTGGCATTTGTCAAAATTAGAACTTTCATCGACGTTTACTCAAAAACGCCTGAACCGATTTCAGAAATTTAAAAACCATTTGTTGTATCTCGATGAGGATTATCGTTTCTCGGTTTTGTGCGACGAGCCGTTACTTTGTATTTTGAAAAAAAGTGTTAAACCTTTCGTCCACATAAAAGCTCATGCTACCGAACCGATTTTAAAAATTGAAAACTGTTCGAAAGATATTAGTTTAAAAATTTATCAAGGTTTGAGAAAATGAGTAGTTTTTTAGTAGAGTAGTAGTAGAGTAGTAGAATTTACTTGGTATAACGATAGTTATACTTGGTCTTAATGAACATACTAAACCATTAAAGTCCTGCGGAAACTGATTCAATTATATAAATTGTTGATTTTTTAAAATTTGCTTTTAGAAAATACTCCTAGTTAACGTGTTCGTTCGTTTTCAATTATGTGCAATGAATCCACTCGGAATACTTATAATGACTCATAAATTAATTTATTTTTTATTCATTAAGTCAATTATTTGCACATATCGAGAAGTTCATGTAACTTGCTTCAAGGCTAAATATCAAACCAACTAGTTAAAACTCTCCTTCGATAATTCAGGTTGTTCGATAAATCATTAAAACTGATTTATTTGTGTATTATGTATTTGTTGCAGTTCTTATTACAATCACTGATTTGTTACTAAGTTATAATGAAAGAAGATATATTATATATTTATTGACTATACATGTTGTTTCGCGGACTTTACTTTTAGAAGCAAGCGACTAGTTCAATTAAAACACTCCGCCATCCCCTTTACCAGGCAACCATTCCGTGTAAAGCTTAATGCCCTGAAGGTTGTCACCTTAATGGCCAATATCATAAAACGAAAATACGTCCGAACAATATTTAACACATATGGTATCTTTTTTTTACCCAGGAGA